TCCTCTTTAATTCAATAATTAGTGTTTTCAATTCAATATAATCCAAATTATAAATTACATTTTTGTTTCAATAAATTTATATTTTAAAATTATATATACAATATTCTAGATAAGTTAGCGATTTAAGAATGCTTATTAGCATTATTATTATTATTTTGTGACAATCCTCGAATCTAATCATCAATCCCCATGACTTTACTTCCTAAAAGTCTACAACTCTTATATATGAAAATGCTGCCGGCGACACCTTTACATCATATGCACCATATATTTATGGACAAAATGAGTGCTAAGTAGCCTCAACTTGGGCTGAGCATTATTAATCATTTTTAGTCTGCGCCGAAAGTTGTTAACCATGGTGCATCATACAAATAATTAAGAGAGTGCAACCACTAAAAGGTTGAAAGGGAAATGTTTTCCATTAAAGGCTACCTATACACGTGAAAAGAATGTACTTAGACATTATGGAACATAATCACCAGAGATGGTCCTGCAATCTGGTAGGTTTAGAAAAAATGGAACAGGGTTTTATACAAACTCAATTCCGTTGTCACACATGATTGCCCCTATGCCTATCCCTATCCCTATCCCTAATTTGATAAGCAATTTATATATACAATTAAGTATGAGCTTTACATTTTTTGACTTTAAAAGTCGGATGTACTAGATAGTAAATGTGGTTTAAAGAAATTAATTTGTTTAAATGAAAAAAACTTTAAGAAAAGGTTTAAAACTTTTAGGTACCATGGTATTTGAACATTTAACCCTACTTTCCCAGGAGCATAAAAAACACTCAAGTGTGGCCTTCTAAAATTATTATCTATTATAAGTATAATATAGTTTAAATTATATTACATTATATTACATTAATTATTAAATATAAAGTTGGATCTCTTGATATTAAGACATCTCTTATTTAATAATTATTATTTTATAATTTAGTATAATTTAAATTGTAAAATGCAGTTCTAGTTACTTATTTTTATTGGAATGACAATGAAGGGATTATGTGGACTGAAGATATTAGTCCGATGTGGGTTCTGAGGACTCAAAATTTTGTCTAACTTTCATGGGATTTTTTTTTTTTTTTTTGGTGTAAATTTGGAGGGTTGAGGGAGAAAAATTCTCCCATGTCATCGTGGTATGTCGCGGTTTTGACACAATCATGAGGTCTATAGCTCAAATTTGGAGGGTCTACCTTTTGGACCCATATGTTTGCGAAACTACTCAAGTTATACCAAACCAGAGTGTCATGAAGTAACTCTTAACATAGGGAGAAATTTAGGATCTTCACCATACCAAGCTACAATAACAACTACTAAGTTATTACACGGTCAAATTTTGTGAATTTTTTAATTTTGACATCGATACTAGTTCTATAGCTCACTAAAATGTTGGACCTAGTCAATGTAGGTAAATTGGTACAAAATATTACTTGATTGCCCAACTAACTTCAAAGAACAAACTGTTATGTCAAACCACAAGCAATTACTCTTGACCTTCACCCAACAGTCAAGAATTTAAATAAATAAACACGCCTGACCAAGTTCTTGTTGGATTTCTTGGGGGCTTAATCCCTTATTTAACCCTTTAACTTATAAATTTTAATGTTATTGACCATCTATGTAAAAATTTAAGAGTATTTGCCCCCAACAATATAGTTTGGAGGAATTCCTTCTTATTTAACGAATTTAAAGTGCACATCATTAGCCAAATGTTATTTTTATTATAGTAAATGACACATCAATGTCTCTATTTTATGTGGTATGCCATTATGACAATCAATAAAAAAATTCTCCCTCAATGTAATACATGCCACACTTTATCATATTAAGTTCTACAAAAGGAAGAGTCAAAATAAAATACAAGCTTCTGCCATAATAGCATGCCATATAGGATAAAAATACTAATGTGTTGTTAACTAAGATAGAGATAATGTTTATGTCTTCAAATTCCTTAAATAAGGAAAAATTCTCCCAAATCATATTGTTGACGAACAAAAACCCTTAAATTTTTAGATAAAATGTTAATAACCTTAAAATCTATAAATTAAAGAGCTAATTAAATAAGGGATTAACCCTTTCTAGGGACTAATAGTCTAATATTGCCAACAGCTGCAATATTATCCTGAAGTTGAGCTGCTCGACCAACCAGTTTTTGGTTTCAGTAATTTCATCATATTTTTATTGACCTCGTTGTTGCGTTGCACCTACCAAGTTGGTCTTATACTTTAAGCAAAATCAATTGTGAAAGCAATCTTTGCTTCTTATTCTAATATAATATTTCTTTGCATTTCAAATACTTTATTGCATCTACCTCTGCCTTGGACTCCAAAACAAGGAAAAAAATACAATGCTAAGAAAACACATCCAAAACAATATGAACAAACACTCGCTTTTTCACATATATACTTACAACTGGGTACATGTAGTGTACAGATAACTCAACTTTGCTCCTAAAAATAAAATAAACAGACCCCATATGACTGAAATGATGCAAAGATGAAAAGAAAAAGGAGGGGTTACTTACCCCTTCTTTTACCTTTATCCTTAAAAGATTTAAAAAATGACCAAAAAGTGTCCTAAGTTTTACTGTTCTAAATAAACTAATGCTATGCACCCTGGCACTGGAATATTTGTTAAATCACTCCAGCTTTACAAGCCAGGCACCTTTCTCACAACATACAAAATGATAGCTTGGCTTTTTCCTCACTAGCCTACACACACATACATACACTCACCCAATCCTCCTTTTTCCCTAGGAAGTGACGAGGTGAGCTAAACCCCACCCAAAAAATGTTGGGTTTACTTGGACACCAAGACCTGGAAAAATGACAAAGGGAAAATGGTAGATTTCCCATTTTTTCTCTTCTGTCGTCCAAGATCTCCAGACAGATCATAGCAGGAGTCTCCCTATCCTGCGAGGGACTCTCTGGACTCATGAGAAAATTTTCTGAAAATGCAGAACTGTGTTGGAATGTGTATCTTCGAGCACAACCCAAGTTAGGCTGCTTTAATCCTCCACTCGAAGAGGTTAATTAAACCCCGGTTGTGCATTCTGCAAATAATCAAGAAAAGAAATGACTTTAAGAGTCAACATTGGAACTGTGTAGGAAAATATGTGACCCTATGAAAAAAAATGGTTACCTATTAGCATTTTGAGTGTAATTCTGCAGGATGTAACTATATAGCAGCATCTCCCATAGTCCTTACACGAGATTCCACGCTCCTCAAGTCACGAAGATGTTGTAGAATCTCCTGGAGAAGATAAAGTCCTTTATCTCCTTTCCTCAAGGAACTAATGCAGTGTTTTAGAAACTCCCTGTCTGCCTCAAGTGCTTGTAGCCTGTCATAAACATGATCCACCTCTTCCTCAATAGCAAGCTTCTTGTTCTCTCGTTCAAAGCTGGCTGCTGAGGAATTTTGATAGGAAAAGGGGTCAAATCCATTTGCATGCCCATTTGATACCCAGTCTTCAATTTCTGCATCAGCTGCATCAAAAAGGGGGAGAAGTCTCTTGGCCTTAGGACCTGTGATTTTCATCTCTTGATGGTGTTTTCCGTTTCCATTGAAATGACCATTTGCAACTCCATTTACTTCACTGCCAAAATCAGAATTCTTGGTGTAGCCATTACCATTCTCTTCATGCAAATGCTGAACATGTTCCTCAAATTGCCTTTCCTCTTCGTCATTCAATACAACCAATTTCTCTTCCAAAACTTTGAGCTGCTCTAGAATGGATAGCCTTTCTTCCTCAAAGTCAGCCAATGATTCCTCCAAATACAAAACTGTTTCTTCTGGGGTATTCTGGTTGCTACCCTCTTGAGGTATATTATCATAGTTACCTTCGTCCTTTGGATCTTGATTCAAATCAACAGATACTCCATCACTGTCTTCAGCATTGCTACAGGAAGCAGAAGAAGTCGCACTTCTGGTGCTATCATCTCTCCTTCTTCTCAGCATCATCATTTTCTGTCTAGCCTCATAATCCTGCACCTTCTTCCTATATATTTCCAGCTCCTTTTCCAGCTCAGCCTTCTCCTTTTCTCTCTTTATCATAAGCTCATTCAAAAGCTGCAAAGCTTCCTGGTCATACTCAGATTGTTCGTCCATCATTCTCTGATATTGCAAAGCTTCCATCTGCATCGCCGCCTTCTCTTCTTGAAGCCTATTTATCATTGCCATTGTATGGTTTGTCGCTACTGCAGAGGCATTTCTCTCTTCTTCCAATTCTGCATACAAAGTATGCAAAGCCTTCCTTTCAGCTTTCAATGCTGACTTCAACTTCTCAAAGGTCAATACTCCATCCCCTCCTTCAATGTCACTGATAATACTTACATCCAAAGATTCTTCTGTACCCGATTCTTTTCTCTCGAGCAAGAGCAACTTCTTGTGCAAGTGATGAAGACTATCTATGGAAGTTGGTGTATCCGGAGCTTTATCTTCTTCAATCTCATTAAACTCTAAACACAACGATGGATGAGTGCTTATAGTTTGGTCACTTGTCTCAACTGTTATAGACTTGAATTGTATAATTTCTTCCTCATCAACCTTGGAACCTACGTTAGAAAAACCCAAGTGAACAATATCAATCAAATGACCTGATAATTCTCCTTTTCAAAATGTAAGCAAGAATTTAAAGCTTACCACCATTATCATTGTCATCTACATGAAACCGAGCAGAATCATTGGCAGGATATTCTTGAATGGATTGAGATGAAGGAAGAACTTCCTGGGGTTGAATATCATCAATCGGTTCATGATCAGGAATCTCTGTGCCTATAGAAACCTCGGCTTCAATTTCATCATTTTGCTCATCAGAAACTACAAAGATGAAGAAATTGTTGAAACTTCTCATCTAAATTCAACACTAATAAATAGGAAAACAAATTATGAATTGCACTAAAATGTACCTTGCCTGACATCTGAATCCATTTCCCCTTCTGTTACTGCAGTTTGTAGAACATCATCAGCATCAATGGGTAGCGGCTTAGTTGCTTGAGTAATAGCAACTTGTTCATTCTCCTCCTCTACCAAATGTGCCTTTTCTTCATGTACTAACAAGCTTTCTTCCTCATCCAAGTCCTCTGATTCAACTGCTGAAAAACTGGATTCATCCTTAATCTGAGAGGAGCTGACAGAAGGTAACACCATTTCCTCCCCTGAATCACACCTCTTCTCCACAACTAATTCAACTGGTGCCGCAAAACTTAATTCAAAATCCAAAATAACATCCGCCTTTTCTTCATGTACTAACAAGCTTTCTTCCTCATCCAAGTCCTTTGATTCAACTGCTGCAAAACTGGATTTATCCTTAATCTGAGAGGAGCCAACAGAAGGTAGTACCACTTTCTCTCCTGAATCACACCTCTCCTCCACAGCCAATTCAACTAGTGCCTCGGAACTTAATTCAAAATCCAAAATAACATCTCCATTGCCAGAAACCCCATGATCTTCCTCCCTAAACTTGTACTCTCTTTGATTTTCTGCTGTCGCTGAATCCATCAACTCAACTGGAATCAGATGACAATCATCCTGATCAATGTAGAACTCTAGATGCTTCGGTGGAATTCCGGAGGATTCATCATTAGCCACCTCCTGATGATGATTAGATGGACCATCCACTGACGGATTCAAGTCATCAGCTTGCACTGATTCTTGATCTTTCTCCGTGGCAAAAACTTCATCAAGATCAACTGTCCTCGGCTTGCAATCAAAACTAGAAATGAAACATGAAAATTCCTCATCTACCTTCAACTCCCTTCTTTCATCATCACTTTCCTCATCAGGACCAATCTGAATTCCCCTGTTTTCTTCAGTTCCCTGTTCAGATTCAACATCATCCCCTACAAAATCCGATCTCCTCGGTTCGGAATGATCTCCTTCCTCAATTATATCAGTTCCTGCTTCTTCGATCAAATTCTCTTTCTGGGTATAATCCAAAAGCCCCCAAGAAGGCTTAATCAGGAGATAAGGAGAGTACAGTTTACTCTCCAAGATCTCCCCACAACAAGAACAGTTGAAACCCACATCACCATCTTGAACCAAACCAAACTGCTTCATCCATGGAAAGAAAGCAAAATTCTTTGAACACTCTTGGGATGAGGACGAGCAATCCTCACACATGTCTTCAGATTCAGCAAGTTTCCGATGATTGGAACAATACCGCAATCTAGAAATCTCAGCCGCATGAGCTTCACAAACAAGATCTCTGTAATAATTCTTCTCCTTCTTGGGATCCAAGAGATGATCAAGCCTCGAACACCAGATGCAGGGGCGTTTAAGGCCGAAGTAATCAGCAAACTTGATGATGAGGTAGGAAAAAAGAGAGTTGACGAGAAGGAGAAAAATCAAAACCCATTCGAGCATTGCGTAAACAAGAACAAGAGTGATCCTGTTAGTGTTCCTATGCAACATGGTGGCAAACTTGTTGGCCGCCATTAATAAAGCTCTGTTTTTCTTGCTATTTATTTACAGAAAATAAGAACAGACTCTAGTCTTAGGACACACTCAAGAATTCTTAAACTGTTTTCAATGAGAATGGATTGGGAGACAGAGTTTGGACAAGATCAAGGAGAAGAAGATGGGGGTTAGATGATGGTGAAGAAGAGAGAGAATGAGGGAAGTTGTTTTACTTAGACTGCAAAAGGCAGTTTGATTAGGGAAGACAGCAAGGGAAGACTGAAAGCAGAGAGAAAAATAAGAGGAATGAGTTGGTGGACCATTCTCAAAGTAACGTGTGGGGCCATATAGGATGCTAGATACCGCGCGGCTTCATTATTATGGAAGTTCATTTTCTTCCTCATTCTTTTTGTGTTTTCAATCAAGGACTTATAAACTGTTGGAATGGCAGAAAATCAGCACGTTTTATAATCATTAATATGTTAAAAGAAATAGTACTTATCCGTCTTATCTTTTAAAAATTATAAAAAATATTATTTTAAAATTATGTTATTTTAATAAATATTTATTGAAAAAAATTAAAATATCATATTTTTAAAATATAAATTAAAATATTTTTTATCATTTTTTTTCTTAATTTTTTAGATGTAAGATGGATAAACACTAATTTCTGTACTAAAATTAACAATAAAAAAACTTAATTATCTTTAATAAATCAAATACAAATACAATTCATTAGAAATATTTGGTAATTTTATTTTTTTGAGCAAGAGCGGTCCTACATCTTGATTTTTACTTCTGCCTAATATATTTTAGGTTCTAAATAATGCAAGACCGGATATTCAATCTGAATCCAAACCCAAACGGCCTTTTTTTTTTCCAGTTTGAAGTGAAAAACAGTTTTTTTTTGTTAAAACATGTATGGAAAAAAAAAATAATAAAAAGGTCATTCAATTAATTAAATTCTGAGTTTAATAATACATGTATATTGAAGACAAGTGTAAATATCTAAATTTCATGAGTGAAGGACTCTTAATAGTATTAAAAAAAAAAAAGTGCAAAAGCATGAAAACTAGAACAATGATCATGACACACTCAAATCTTTGGAGTTGTAGTGATAAGATAATACTCGTGTAAATTTCTTAATTTAAATCTAAATGAGCTATTTTTAATTAAGTAAAGAATGAAAATCTAATTTAATATACTATACAAGTATACATAGTTTAAAATGACTCAAAAAATCATGTAACGTTAAAAAAGGACTAGGGAGAAAAGCAAATAGCTTTCCTATGGGAGATATATACAAACTGAGAAATGAGAAATGATTCCTATCCCTTGTAGAATTCACATTTTGCAGTGTTCATCAAACAATTTGCATTCTAACTTTTTGACCCAAGGAAACAATTTCCAGCCTGATTGACATTTTTCTAAGAAAATCTTCTTCTATGGTAGAGGGAGAAAGCTTTAGGAGCTGAAATTGCCCCACAGTATTGGTCGGCCAGAGGCTGCACCGCCCATACCCAACCATTCCTATATATCCCCTTTTCCCCTTCGAATTGAATTTTATATCTATAGCTTTTTATAAAAAAAGAATACACGTATATATAGCATTATACTTCTTTTTACAAAGTAATCATATTTTTTAAAAAATTATAAGATTAGTGTTTGTTAGTCTTGATAAATTTTTAAGACTCTTATAATTCAAATAACAATAGTGATTTCAAGCATTATAATTCTAACAAAAAGCAGACACCCATCACATAATCATAGAAACACCATTGTCATTGTGTTCAAATTGACATTTAAGGCATGTAATGATATTTACCATACTCATGTTTTATGAAGAAATGAGAAAGTCAAGAGATCTTAATATTAAAAGTAATAAAATATTTAATCATAGACATTAAATTTACAAGATATAGTGTAAGTCTTAATTTGATTACATTTATCATGTAA